TAAAATAGTGTAGTTAATAAATCACACAATAGCGGTTATTACGAAGAGTTTGTACATTTAATTTATATTAAACTAGCATTGCCCGCGGCTCCGCCCGCGTTCAAATGACCAAAAACCAAATTCTTAGGTTTTACATATTAGTATACTCTTACAATGCAGTTTTTGAATTTTTTCTCAGAAATGAGATATTTGTCGTGGTAAAAAGTATCCCATATGTTGACCTGGATAACCAGCTACCATCATACAAAATGTCATCAAAATCCCTTTAGTGGTTTTTCCGTGATGCGGTAACAGACTGATAGACAGACAGACAAAAATTCTAAAAACTATAGATTCGGCCTCTGTATCGATAATAATGTCTATTTCAATTACATTTTCCAAAAAATATTCTATGTACAGATTCGACTTAGTTACAATTTTATTATATGTATAGATTGAATAAAGCTCACATCTGTGTATGAAAGCTCTGAAACATTCGAAATTAATTTAAAAGCTCTTTTAAAATAAGGATTAAGCACTGCTACTTTATTATTAAACTTCTTTAGGAGTAATATACTCGTACGTGTATTGAATACGAAAAAAACTTTCATTATACCAACGTCGGGAGATTTACTTACCAGTGACCATTTTTAAAAGGTCTTATTAGTTAACCGACTACAAAAAGGACGATTTTCATTTTTGCATGTACAGAATAAATATCAAGGACGGCCCTATATATTTTAAGAAAATATCTCTTTAAATCTTATTTAATATTGTAAATATGAAAGTTTAGATGTTTGTATGTTTGGATGGATGTTTGTTACTCAATCACGCCAGAACGGATGAACGGATCTGGATGAAATTTGGCACAGAGATAGGTTATAGTTTGGAATAGCACATAGGCTATAGGCTTTTATTTTGGAAAAATGTACGGTTCCCGTGGGATAGATTAGTTTTTGTTTTTAGAGATATAACTTATGAATCTTTCGTATATTTAGTATTAGGTATATTAAATTATAGCAAATTTTTTTGTTCAAAAGTTATTAAAGTAATACACATAATTAGAATTAACAATAGATGTAAACATCTATTATTAATTCTAATTATGTGTATTACTTTTGGATACTACGATCTTCTCGAGAAACATCAAGTCAATAAGACCATAGTACAAGTACTCAAAGGATAGCAATATCAATTCATGTACTATACAAATATGAGCAAGACTGCAGATAATATTGGAAAATTACCAAACATATGATATCTCGATATATTTCAAGAGTGATATGCCCTTACGAATATACGATTCTAGATAGAAATTTTACTCCAGATTATTGACTATCTGTGTACTAAATTTTATCCGAATCCGTCCAGCCGTTTAAGCGTGAAGTAGAAACAAACATACACACACAAACTTTCATATTTACAATATGACTAGCGACTCACCCTCGCTTCACAACGGTTCGTCTCTACGTACGTTTTGGCGATTAGTATGGAATAGATTGACTATATTATTATTATATAAATAGGTATGATGATATATCCCTTACTTGAGAAATGATTGATTTCCCTCACGAATTTCCACCCCCCTTTTCACCCTCTTAAGGGATGATATCCGGGGTGAAAACTATCCTATGTCCTTCCCAGGATCAGAAACTATCTCCATACCTATTTTCATCAAAATCAGTTCAGCCGTTTAGTCGTGAAAGGGTAACAAGCAAACAGAGTTACTTTCTCATTTGCGAGTATAATATTAGAATGGATAGTATGGATGTAGTGTGATTTTAATTTAGATTTCTTCTTATTGCCTGAAACTCATTGTCACCGCAATCAAAGTTACTTATGAACGTTATGTACCAGATTTATTCCGAGCCTTTATTAGAGCAAGTCATATCTTAATTAAGGTTGGTACAAAGTGTGGGATATAATATGTTATTATTTATTGTTATGATTATCCAATTGTATATTTGTATTTCTATTAGTTTCTCGATTCAACTGTTATACATATATATATATATATATATATATATATATATATATATATATATATATATATATATATATATATATATATATAAATTATAATTTGTGTATGTTAAGTGATATCTTTCGTATACACCTCTTTTTTTGAACATCCCATTGCTGGGCATGGACCTCCCTTCAATTCAAGGGGGATCAGGCCATAGTCCACTAAGCTGACTAAGTGCGGGTTGGTGGACTTCACGTGTCTTTTGAAAACTTGTTAGGTTCAGCAAACATGCAGTTTTCCTCACGTTTTTTTCCTTCACTGTAAGACAAGTTGTTAAAAATGATTCGCACATGAAAATATTAGACGTATGAGATCCGGGTTTGAACCCGCTTCACTTGATTTCCCAAGCAAGTGTGTTACTACTGGGCTACCACTCTCTTATATCTTTGCAAACTGTAAATTGATTTTTATCATTTTATACATATACTTAAAAAGTGGACTTATATAAATTTCTGGAAAAAATACCATCCATAAGGGTGTTGTTTTGCCAAGATAGAAAGAAAATGAGAGAGAGAGTCAGACAGACAAACATTTACACAGTTGTATTAAAAATGTCAAATACCCTAGACAGGAATTGAATTCACATCGTCCAGAATAACGGTAAGAGATTAACATATTCTTTGGGCAACATTTATTTATTCTGCTAAAAGTCCTATTTTCTTCATAGTCATGAATGTATTGTGAAACCACTAATGGTAAGGGAATAAAAGGCTTTTAACATAGAAAGCTTTAAAACTGAGATAAATTTAAAGCTTTATATTAGAAAAAGCTCTTTTCATATTATTTACTAGAATATTCCTGCGACTTTTCTTTGCATTTTTGTGATGTATTTTCTTTATTTTATTATAGTATCATTTATTAATTTAAAATATGATTTTATCATTAATTGACCTATTTAAATAGAAAATATATTTAATTATATTTAATACTAGCGACTCACCCTCGCTCCGCTCTAGTTCGTCTCTGCGTTTTAAAGTTAGTATAGATTTCTCAGAAATAAGATATTTTCTCGCAGTAAAAAGTATCCTTAACGTAGACCCGGATAACCAGCTACTTTAACTAAGCTTTAGATTAGGCCTCTGTTTCGATAATAATGACTATTTCAATAAAATTTTCCAAAAAAATATTTAATGTACAGATTCGACTCAGAATTTTATTATATGTATAGATAGATAAGTGTGTAATATATTTAATTATTTATATTTAAAGACATTTCTCAAAATCTCTTGTCAGTGAATCGTTATCGATAAGAAATATGTCTCAAATATTTACGGGTACATATTTTGATGTATGAAAAAATTGGCTACATATTCCGAGCTCCTGGGTTTGGTTCCCGGGTCAGGCATTATAGTAAGCCTTCAGTAGGGCTTTGGATTAGGGAAGTTGGCAATGTATCACTCTCGATGAAGCGTATGTCTTTTATTGTATAATGATACAAAAATTGTGGAGCATATTAAGCGTAACAAAAATAAAATGGATGAGAGTGTTCGCAGTAATATAATTTAGCTGAGAAAAACGATGATGAAGCCCGTATTTGATTTTGCGCGAATATACTCGTATGTATGTACAATGTACCTACATGTGTAGGAAGTAGCTTATACATAGCGTGTGCTTCACCCTATATATTTACCTATTAGATATTCATATCTTAAAATATTGTCCTTTGGCACCGACTTCGAAAATATCTGATTAGGTGTCTATTCTAAATGAAAACCCCCGTTTAGTTATTTTTACATTTTAGTGCCTGGAAGTCGGTTTTTTTTAAGTTTTTATCATTTTTCAATAAGTTATTTTTATATGTTATTTTTGTGACTATCATTATTATATGTTATTTCTACTGCCTTATAACCAAATATTTTATAAATATAAGCGAGAATAAATTAACAGCGAATTTCGAAATGACACAGCCACGTCTCTCATATAAGCTCAATAAAAACGTCAAGAGTACTTAGCACCTGTTGGTATGACATTTGATTATTTTTCGAGTACCTATGCTTTATGATTACCATCTATAGAAATCAAACATTTTTCATTGATTTAAAATTAGATTTTATCATTATTTGACCTATTTCAGGAGAAAGAGGTGTTCAAATTTTTATGCTCCTTTCTTGTGTAAATAACACAATACTTGTGGAAATTTTGAACCGTGTTTCATGATTGTTTTTCAATGAACTGGACAAACATATAAAATAATTATTCATTATTATTATTATTCGGAGGCATGCCTCACTTGGGTTCCAAGGTAAATCTCCAAGTTATGATAATGCGGAATGCCCCTGAAATTAAAATAGGATGGAGATATTTTCTAGTGGTAACAAGTAGCTTGTCACCCTCCAGCCCTACAACTTCTAAAAGGCTAAACATACAAACACACCTTTATGTTTATAATATTAGTATTTGGATAGTATAGATTACTAGCAACTTATCCTTACTTGTATCCGGTGCTTAACAGTAACCTATATATATATGTCACTCAAATACTTCGTCTACCAATAACTTTAAAGTTTCATCTAAATCTATTCAGCCTTCCCAGCACAAAAAATTAACAAAATAACATACACACATATAATTTAGTATTCAGGTTATTTTATTATTCATACTAGTGGTCAATTTATTCTCCCACTGGTCGAAATTCCATCATCATTAAAATATATAAATATGTTGGGGCATTAACACACAGCACCATCAAGTTCCATGGTAAGCTACGAGGCTTGCGTTATGGATATCGGATAGTTGATACACTACACATATAGAACTTTAAAAACATGCATATTATGAATATAAACATCCATGACTGGAGTACAAACATTCGTGCTCATCACACAAATGAATGCCCCCAGCGGGACTCGAACCCGCGACCGCTGGCACAGCAAGTAGGGTCACTACAAACTGAGCCAAACGTGTCATCGTCGTTGAAAGTTTATGAATAATAATACTAAATTGTTTTATCTTTATCTATTTATGTATAGATTTTCTTCAATTTTTCTTCTTGTAGATACGAAACATACAAGGCGACGCTGAAGAAGATCCCCGCGACTCGACTGTCTCGCCTGACAGAGGCGCTCGCCAACTACGACCCGGTGCTCAACGAGTACTTCTTCGATAGACATCCGGGAGTCTTCGCACAAGTCCTTAATTATTACAGGTAAATTCTATTATTGCTCTTAGATGCAATTTCTATTACAAATAAATAAAATTGAAGTGTCTGTTTGTAATGTCAAAATTACAGATTTTTACTAAATGCATAAGAAATTATATACGGTACGGTTTGTTCCTGCTAATCTTCGAAATGTCTGGACCATTTAATCGGGACTTTCACTAGTAGATAGCTGATGATATAAGGTGTAACTTAGGCTATTTTTATTTTAGAAAAAGATTTAGGGTAAGTAGGGTAGCTATATATATATATATATATATATATATTTATATATATATATATATATATATATATATATATATATATATTTTATATCGTATAGTAACAACGTAATTTTATATAAAACGTCCACTATTTTTTAACGTGTTACATTCAAAGCTTAATAAAAATGTCAAATGCAACATTTCAACAGTTTTGTAAAGATAATATTCATAGTGGAGAGCGCAAATATTTTATGTACTATATTTCATGAGATAGCTCTAACATCGCTGATGCTTGAATTTAAAATATTTCGTTTAGTTTATTTGCGTTTTAGGTTTCTCACGCTAATTTAATTGCATAATCGTATTGAAAACTAGCTAGAATATTTAAAACATTTTTTTTCTATTTTCAGTCGACTTCAAAAAGGAGGAGGTTCTCAATTCGGCTGTATTTTTTATGTTTGTTACCTCAAAACTCCGTCATTTATTAACCGATTTGGAAGATTTTTGTTTTGTTTGAAAGTGTATACTTTCAGATTGGTCTCATTTAAATTTCAATAAAAATACCACCCCCTAAGAATGGAAAAAATATATAGCTAATGAAAATTTAATCTATTTCTAATTGTCATGTTGTCGAAACTTTGCAAGTGTTTCTTTCTATTGCTGTTGATAATGCAGCGATACGGTATCGTAGACCTGATCTGATGGTAAAGTCAGAAGTTAGATAGGTGTAACTCTTCAACGGCTAATTATAGTAGATACTTCGAGTTTGGGCTTATTTTGTTTAATTTGACAAACTCAATACGTTATAATTGGATATTAGACTCTGATTCTTAGTGTTACTAATAAAAGCCAATTTTAGTTTGTCAGTCTTCATATATAAATAGGCATCAAACTAACTTAACAGCTTAAGCGAATATTTTATTAAAATACTGCTTACTTTGCAACTACTATGTCTACACTAAAAATGTAAAAAAATATATATAAAATAAACCGATTTCAAAAAAAAAATCTAAAAAGAAAAAAAAACTGATTGATAGTTTAATTTAGATATTTTGTATAGATGATACCTAATCACATATTTTCAAAGTTGTTGTAGTCATCAAAATTATTAAGAAGTTCTCTACAGTTGTATTCAGACCATTAATACGAATTACGCATCGTGTTATACAGAAGCGATTTAACAGCAAATAAACGATCAAATGTAAATTGGGATGTGAGATAATAGTAATATTACTCTCAACACCAGATGTCTTACTATACATCGTCATTTCGTGCCAATTTATATCTAAACTGCTCGTTTTAGGGCTCTTGCGTTATTTTGTTGTATCCAGTGAAGTAGGCTTTGGAATAAATTCAAAGTCGTAAGTTCGATGTCAGTTTGAGGTATTTTTTGTGAATTTAGAAAACATTATTATGAAAATCCATATTAATATTATACATGTGAAAGTTTGTGATTATGGATGTTTGTTACTTTTTCACACCAGAACGGCTGAACGGATCTGGATGAAATTTAGCGCAGAGATAGATTATAGTCTGGAATAACACATAGGTATACTTTTTATCCCGGAAAAATGTACGGTTCCCGTGGGATAGGGTTGTTTTTGTTTTCTTAGAGGCGAACCCCAGCGTAGCGAGAGTTAGCCGCTAGTATTTTATAAAATTGTTAATGGGGTTAAAATAAATGATTATTAAATTAGTTAATAATAGTGGTTGCTTTGCTGTTTCAGAGATAAGGGTACAGACAATAACTCTACAGACAGCCAAAAAAATATTAATGTCTTAGTTCTAGTATCACGTAAATAAAGCAGAAGCAAAAATATATGCATACATATATATGTATATGTATGTATGTATGTATATATATATATATATATATATATATATATGTATATGTATATATATATATATATTAAAATCACAGACAGTCAATTCGATTTTATATATTAATACGTAGTACATGTCTAAATTTAAAAGCATATATTTTGTGTGTATTTCTGGTGATGTCTATTCATATAATAAAATTCTAACTGAGTCGAATCTGTACATTAAATATTTTTTGGAAAATCTTATTGAAATAATCATTATTATCGAAACAGAGGCCGAATTTATAGTTTTTAAAACTTCTGTCTGTCTGTCTATCTGTCTGGGAACGCATCACATGAAAACCACTGGACAGATTTTGATGAAATTTGGTACCTATGATGATAACTGGCTACCCGGGTCATCATATAAGATATAAGATACTTTTTACTACGGGAAAATATCTCATCTGTGAGAAATCTATCATAACCAATAAAACGTTACTAGGGATGAACCCGAGCAGAACGAGGGTGAGACGCTAGTCTTATCTAAATACCTGTACGTTGGTTACAAACTCTTTATTTTTATTCCAGGCATATGCCAATATAATGTAGTTGCAAAAATGTCAGTGCTAAATTTGAACTCGCTTGTTGGATGCGACCGAAAAACGGTAAAAAATGTTAGAGCTTGTTATGAAACGAACTTTTACATCATTCATCAAGTCGTGAGTTAGATTTTAAAGTCAGAGTTAGATTTTAAAGTCTGTTTACCACAGATTTTTTCATTACTTTTTTAAGTTCCAAACAAAATCATCTATTCGGGAATTATTTTACTCTATTATTTAGTAAGAACGTACGATCTTCAATTTTTTGTATGTATGTATCATACATAATAATACGTAACAAGATATCCTCGTTGTTTCTTAACTAAATTTCATAATAATTTTTTTATGAAAACTTTCTTCTAAAGAGTGCTATCAAGATCAAGCAAAATCTCTTACATAGATACATTTATAGCGATTTTAAAATAGTACTATAATAAACATTAATAAAGTATAGTGTTCGTTCAGTGGTTAAAATTCGACTACAATAATTATTATTGAAAATGTATAAATATAATAAAACAGTAACTTAGTAACAGTGTCTGTACATAAAATATTTTTTTAAAACAATAAAAACAATTAACGTTATGTACAGAATATAGACCTCAAAACAATTTTTATTAATTTTTTTTGTCTGATTGTCTGTATGTCTGTTTGTTCGTATGTCTGTTTGTGTATGCACGTTTCACGCAAAAATACTGAACTGATTTTAACTAAACTTTTTGTATTGGTAACTTGTTACTTGGGTTAATATTTAGGATACCTCTTACTACAGGAAAATCTTTTATCCCACGGGAAAAAACAATAACCAGTTCTAGTGATCCTTAGAAATTTACATGGCTAATGCCGGCTAAATATGTTAGGTTTAACAGTCCGCGATATAAAACATGACTATCTCCTAAGCGTACACAATAACTATTTATATTTAAAACATACCTAGGGACGTCGCTAGTAAAGAAGAACTGAAATATTTTGTCTTTACTATACGACGATTTTTGACGACACGATTTTCTCAGTTTGTAGTGACTCTACTTATTGTACCAGCGGTCGCGGGTTCGACTCCCGCTGGGGGCATTCATTTTTATGATGAGAATGAATGTTTGCACTCCAGTCATGGGTGTTTATATTTATAATATGTATGTATTTAAAGTTATACATAATATGTAGTGTGTCAACTATATGGTATGCATAACACAAACCTCGTAGCTTACCATGGAACTAGATGGTGCTGTGAGTTAATTTCTCAACATATTTATTTATATATATTTTTTACTTATAAAATCGGTTGACAAACAGAAGAGAAAAATGAGCTGTTTTGTCTTTGCCTATTTGGTTTTACATAATATAGATTACTCACACTTACTTCAGGCGATCATAAAGTATCTTTCTTTGGTCATAGCATGATTTTATTGCCTATAAACAGCTTCAATAAAATGGCTGTAAAATACAAAAATAAAATTAAATCGGACTAGTTAGTACAAAGATTAGCACCTAAGCAAATAAAACTTTTAGTATTTTAATTTATTAGTATGGATCTATTTTCAACTTAAATAAAACCTATGTATATGTAATTTTTAACCCATCATATGCTATAAATGGGAAAGTTTATATGTGTATACTCATGTGTGTTACTTCTTCACAAAACGGATGGACAGATTTAGATAAAACTTAGTATAGAGATGTGACCTTGAGTAACATATAGGCTACTGCTAATAATAATTTTTCCTCTTAGGTTACGCTACTTGTATATAATACAAGTAACTTAGCCTGGCTTCTCTCAGGTTCGTCTATAGTGAAAAACCAAAATAAATATATCCCACGGGAACTACATTTTCTGGGATAAAAAATAACTTATGTGCTATTTCAGACTATAATCTATCTCTGTGCCAAATTTCATTCAGATATGTTTAGCCGTCCTGGCGTTATTGAGTAACAAACATCCGTCCAAACTTTCACTATTATAATTCTTAATATTGGATTATTTTTGACTCTGACTCACCCTACTAACTGAAAAGATACATTAAAATAATAACACAATGGTAAGAAATGCACACATCCTTAACTCCTGAACTAGAAAAAAAATAATATATATATATATATATATATATATATATATATATATATATATATATATATATATTTTTATATATATATATATATATATATATATATATATATATATAATATATATATATATAATAGGATTAATGGTATCACTAGTGTTTACTTGAAGCTCCACACGTTTCAAGTTGTTTAATTTTGTAAGATTATTCTGCTCTCTTAGTTTGATGTGGGAAGAATCTATAATATTACTCAATAAACAGGCTTTGAAACTCAAAGAGATTTTTTCAAATCGGACCATATCTATTTGAAATTCAAAGATA